ACACCTACCATTGATGAACCTACAAGAGTCTACAATCAATCTGCGACTCTATTGACAATATTTTTGTCAATAAAATTGAAAACCCAATTCTAAGTGGGAATATTGTTTCTGACATTAGTGATCACTTTTCGCAATTTTGTATCATACAATCTGATAAATACATAAATTATCAATACCAAACTAATGCCAAAATTCGTGATTACTCTAAATTTTCGAAGTCAAAATTCAATGACGACATATCACGGATTAACTGGTATACTATCATCGCAAATAAAAAAGACAATATTGATAAACTTTTTATCACCTTTTACGATAAACTCAACAACGTAATCAACAAACACGCTCCCTTAAAACCAGCCTCAAATCGTATGAAAAAACAGTTCTCTAAGCCATGGATAACAAAAGGAATCAGGAGATCAATTAAAATAAAAAACAAACTATTTCACTCCACAAATAAAAATAAATAAATACCGAAATAAGATAACAACCCTAACACGAATTAGTAAAAATTTATATTATAACCAATATTTCAATAACAACATAAAAAACATGAAAAAATCTGGGACGGCATAGTCTGATCAATCGCAAGAGGAATAATCACAAAATGATTACGACAATCAAATGTCCAACCAGAAATGAAATTAATAGAAATCATAGAGATATTCCCAATATCCTCAATAAACATTTTTCAACCATAGCTTCTAAATTACCCAACCCCGGCCTCAAAACATTTTAGCCAATATCTCGATACCACTAATTATTCTTTCTTCTTTGACCCCATTTCTCCACACGAAGTAGAATGTGAAATAAGTTCTATGTCTTGTGCGAAAGCTTATGTACTGTACTCTTGTGCTATGCGAATTCTAAAGTAGGCCTATATAAAACACCAAATATCTTGGCCACTATCAGAAATAATGAATATATCTATCGAAAAGGGAGTGTTTCCTTCAAAATTTAAACATGCTAAAGTTATTCCTATATATAAAGATGATGGTGAAACTGATCGGGGAAACTATAGACCAATCTCATTGCTTTCAAATTTGAATCAAATTTTTGAAAAATTAATGTCTAAACGTCTCAAAACGTTTTTCGATAAAAACAAAACTTTATATGATAAGCAATATGGCTTCCGAGCTAAACACTCAACACAGCATACCATTATTGATATTATAAATAATATTCATAACAATCTGGACAAGGGTCTATTTTCGTATGGCATATATATAGATCTAAAAAAAGCCTTTGATACCGTTGATCATTCTATACTTTTACATAAATTACATCATTATGGAATCCGTGGAGTGATCAACAACTGGTTTAGATCTTACCTAACTGACAGAATACAGACAACCCAAATTGGTGGTTACATATCATCAAAACATACAGTTAACTTGGGTGTTCCACAAGGTTCAGTCCTTGGGCCTTTACTCTTCTTAATTTACATAAATGATATTCACAAATCATGGTATTTAAATTTTACTTGTTTGCTGATGATATGAATTTGGTATATTCTGATAAAAAATTAAAATCTCTAGAAACGATCATCAATAGAGAATTAAAGGAGTTTGTGAATGGCTAAACACAAATAAGTTAACCCTCAACTTAAAGAAATCCAACTATGTTATCTTCATTCTCACCAAAAAAAGCTCGACTATCAAGTTGAACTAAAAATGTTTGACAATCATTGCAATAACTTGATTAATATTGAATGTAAAGAATTTATAGAATATTTAGGTGTTATAGTAGATGGTAATCTCACATGGAAATACTACATTGACAACATTGCATCTAAAATAAGCAAAACAATTGGCATAATTACAAGGCTTTTAGATATTTTGTACCTCTGTCTACCTTACAAAACATTTATCAATGCTTAATCTTACCTTATATAACATATGGTATAACTGTTTGGGGTCAAGCGGCAAAAAATATTTGAATAAGATACTTACTCTCGAAAAACGAGCAATACGTCTAATGAATTTTAAAACAAACAAGGAACATGCTATCCCACTTTTTATTCATTCCAATATACTTCCTTTAAATATGCTTTACATTAAAACAATTTGCAATTTAATGTATAACGTCTCAAATAGCTCTTGTCCATCTTCAATCTCCGATTGTTTTATCCAATCAAAAGAAGTCCATACTTATAACACTAGACATTGTGTATCCAATAACTTCTATGTTGAATACTCAAAACTAACTAAAACTATCACATCCTTTGTGAAATCAGGTGTTAAAATTTGGAATAGTATTCCCACTGATGTTCGAGAGTTGGGTAGAAAAAATTTCAATTTGAAAATTCAGAAAAGTCTTTTAATCATATTTGAGATTGAGGACGATTATGCTGATGTGCCCACATTAATTAGATATATGAGTAAGCATGGAAAACAGTACATCTTCGAAATTAATAGGAAATTAATAGGGAATTAATGCTTCTTTGTGAAAATGATGCTTTGTGCTGTCAGTATTCTGCGCCACTTTGTATTATAAGAGGGCCTCTTATACCTCTTCACAAAATGCTTTCACGTAAAAATATTTTGCCTTTTCACGAGTCACGAAAAATTGAAAAAAATTCCTTCACGTTCACGGAAAAATCGAAGCGATCACGATTCACGTAAAAATAAAACAAAGTTCACGAATTATTATAGGATGTCTTCCTTAATTGTAGAATCATTGTACTCGTCTGTACTTACCTCGACATGCTTTCAAACCTCCAACTATGTCGAAAACAGGCTTCTGTACATCAAGTACTTCAAAAAACAGCAACAAACCGTATTTATTCTTTGGAAAGCTGATCACACAAAAGGTCACAAAACAGAAGATTCACGAATCACGAATATTTCTATCTGCCATTCACGGGTCACGGTTAAATCGAATCTTTCCTTCACGTGCACGTGAAAAGATTGGAAGTCATACCATCACGAATCACGGATTAAGAAAATCATCGATCACGTTTCACGGCTAAGTAAAATAAGCCCATCACGCTTCACGCAAAAAGTATAAAGGGCCCTCTTATAACCGAGTATATCTTATAATTCTTAATTAATCTCATTCTACTATCCGCCTCGATTAGCTTTGCTATTTAACAATTAGACAACGAGGCCGAGTTGTCTATGAGCGAATATAGTCAACGAGGCGAAGCCGAGTTGACTATTTGCTCATAGACAACGAGGCCGAGTTGTCTAATTGTTTTAGTATAAACTTTAACATTAATTTACAAATAGGCTGCAAACACAATACAAAAATACACAAAAAAAATATAAAACCATTAAAGGTAAACAAATATTTTAGTTTTTGTTCGCGTGAAATGTTTGACAAAATGTCAAAATTCAGTTTTAATTTTAAAATTTCATTGAGTGTATGTTATTTTGTCTATTTTCTTACCCATAAAAATTGCCATTCCATATTTTTGTTGCTTTTTTCGGGGTTTTTTAGTACAGAATTGTTCAACAAGTCGTCCAAAAAATCATCAGACACTTCGGCAAAAGTGCAAAACACGAATTTTCCGCCATTTTGAATTTTCTATTAGTAGGCTATCACTAATAGCCTACTAGTAGCGTAGCCAATCAGAAGGCACGATATGTGATAGCCTACTAGTAGGTTTATACTAATATAGTAGTATTGTATATATACAGACTGTTTATGTATTTATTAATAAAATTTGATTTGATAAATAACCCGAGTCTGTGGGCCTGAAGTTGACCATTGGAATAACACTTCAGCCCCGAACCAAATTTTTTTTTCGTCTGCAATGCATATGGTCAGCGGTTATACACAACAACACCAAAACGAGGCAACAGGAAACACATGGAAAGAGCCAAAATTTTTCATAAATGCAGTATAAGAGGATTTCCACAAATGTTACATTTTGATTCATTTGGGACAAACCTATAAGTATAACCTTCAATGACTTCTTTATCATTTTGTAAATTTAGGTGTGAACATGCATAAAACGAATAGTTATACAGATGACATGTTAATAAACAAGCTAACATGCACTGACCTGTTTTGCTGCAAATTGTAG